CACAATATATATTCACTTACACAATATATATATATATACAAAATCATCATTCACTATTGCAAGGGAATAATCATTTCATAAGAAATCCTAAAGAATGACCATTCCATTCCATTCTATCTCATTCTAGTGAACCAAATAGAGCATGAATATTCATCATGTGACTATAACTAGTGTGACTATAACTATAATGAGCATCTGACTGTGTTCAAACTTTCTGAATGTTGGAACTTTGATTGTGTTTTGGTTAATGTTTATGCACACCAAATGATGGGGTGAAAAGAGGAAATTTGTGGGAGGTTCTTGTCAATCTTAGACCAATTTTTTGTAATCCTTGGTGAAAAAATTAAACTACAATGCTAGGAATTGGAAAACTTTATAATGTGTGGTACAAAGGATTGCAATCTTAAACTCATGTAATGAAACTAGTTTGTGGTCATGTAACCTTGTGAAATTTCAGGGGAGCCAAGATGCAATTTTATCCTCTATTATTCAGGTCTAACTAATTTTGTTCAATACAAATCATCATGTGGAGCACTGGATTATCTCAAGACACCAGAGGTGTATCCTATAGAGAAATGGTGAAATCTTATACTACATAAATGAAACACTTGAGATTGTGCAAAAAACAAATGAAGAGAATTCCCTTTCACAATGTTTGGGGGAGGATAGTCCTGATGTATGATTGTATATCTTGGGGCCCTGGCTGGTTTCCACAAGATGAACTGATGCTTCTCTATTACCAGTTGACTTTGAAAAAATATACTGGAGGAGTGCATCGTCCTTTAGATGTGATGATGGATGGAGTGAGAGGATTACATTCTATTTTTTCTGGAGGCAGGGAAAATGAGAGTAATTGTTCAGTTTTCTCTACGATTAAAAACCTTAGAATCAGCTATCACTAATGCTGTGTTTGATTGGGGGATTTGAGAAGGGATTTGGAAAGGGAAATGGAAAAGGTAGGTGAAATGTGAATAAAACATACCTATATTTCACCTAGTTTCACACACATTTTCCCTTTCTCTTTCCAAATCCCTCCCCAAATCCTCCAACCAAACACAGCGTAAATGGCCATTGATAGAGTCGAGTGGGCAAGAAGGATTCATGTAGCCGACCCCATTTGATGGGACTTAAGGTTTGGTTTGGTTTATAATATTTAGATTATCTATTTCCCTTTTAGCTTGTGTACTAATAACTGTATTTGACAAACTATTTTCCTTGCTCTTTGTGTTGAAATCTACCAAGTCTCAAAGATCTAATCTTTTCTAAATGATGATGTTTTGAGGAGCTGATGTAGCACCAGTAAGGAGAAGGATAAGAATGAAAAGAGCAGGAGGGAAGAAAACAGAGGGCAGTGTAAAACAAGGAATAGTCTTAAAGCAATATCTTAATCTCAATCAATTAATACTCAAACCTAACCCTGATAAACCCTTACATAAAAGCCATATATGCAAGTAAACCAAACAAACAAAAACTACGAAATAAAATCCTAAACAAATTTATTTTCCTAAATAAATTAAACTTCTAAATAAGTAAAATTCCTAACCTTCAATTATTTCTTATCCAATTCTTTTACGTTCCCCATCAGGAGCTTCTACTGAACCAAGTGTGGCTGTCTGTTTTTTGGAGGCTTGTGGTTGTCAGTCCTTAGAGGATCCTTAGGCTCTTGATGTTTGTTTGCTGTCCAGTCTGGAAGTGGTTTCTGACTGTTTTGTTAGGGTTAATAGGAACTCCTTGCTAGGAGTCCTGAAATTTGAGGCTATAATTTTCGGTTGACTATGCTCTGGTGGTCCTGCACATACAATTCAAGAAGGTGGATTAATAAAAATTCTCTTAAGCTTTTTGCTTTTTTGCTTTTTAATGGATTTCATTAATTTAAGCTGCAGATGTGCAATTTGCTAGGATACACTAGTTTGTTGCTGGCAAGAGACAATGCCAAATCTCAATTTTGATGGTTGGGTATATAAAGACATCTTTGTGTTGTAAAATAGCATTAATGATTAATTACTAGTTGTGTTCTCGTCGAAGAAAGTGGGTCAGTGAATCTTAGGGATAGGCAACCAAGTACACTATGAAAGGGATTTCAAATCTCCAACTAGGGGTGTTCACTTGTCAGGTCAGACCCGGGGGGGTTTGCCATAGACCCTGTCACCCGAACCGATCATCTAGGGTTGAATAAGAAAGAACCCAATTTTGACTGTCTAGATGCTCGAAACCGAACATGTTGGGGTTGAATAGTTTCAGTCAAAATGTCGAAACCAACCAATCTTCATCGCATTGCAGATCATAACCCCAAAAAATTAAAACAAAATTTAACCTCGTATATATATTTTTTGAGATGAAAAAAAAATAAGGATTAGAGGAATGGGAAAGAGACCAAATTTAAGAGAAAAAGAGCTTTGGGTGGAGAGTGGCAGGAAGGCGGAGGAGTGAGAGAGGAGATTGTAATGACAGAGAGAGGATAAAGGAGAAATTGAGATCTGAGACAGAGAGCAAAGTGATCTCTAATGGCAAAGGTGAAATAGTGGCGCGGAAAGCAGCATCAATGGTGAGGCGGTGGCAAAAAGCAATAGTAGTGGCCAAGCCTTAGTCAAACTAAAGGTTACTGTGTGGTTCTATTACAAGTTACGACTAGCCTTTAGCAACTAAATGAAAATATGAGAGAGTTTTGAAATGAAAAGAAAATGTAATGATGATGGGGTGATGGAAAGTCGAAGAAAGTGTCATTATGATGTGAAGATGAAAGGTTGAATAAAGTAATAGTAATTATGATGTGCAAGTGAAAAAGTTGAATAATACGTAAAGAGGTAAAGTATGTGATAATGGTATTTGGGGTTTCTTAAAAAAAAGAAAAAATTGTTTAATATTTTCTGTCAATATGATAAGGTTGTAACACTCCAGCTAATAAAAAGAAGAAGTCTGGCTGGAAAAATGCATCATATAATATTTCAGTTGGGTCGGGTTTCTTCGTTTTTTTGATCTATTCATCCGATAGCCGATCGCAAAAATAAAAAATCTGCAATCTGAACTCGTGGCCTACTAAAATGGCGGTCAAAACTATCTGTGGGTTGGGTCAGGTCGGGTCGGATGGATCTTTGAACAGACCTATCTCCAACTTTCATTGTATAGATAGTATAAAATTAAGCAGCAATTATGTTAATGAAGTTACAAATGTTAAAATGAAATGTTTACATTAGTTGGTGTTAGATTAGTCCTTATTCATTCCACATTGGAAGCATTTTGTTTCCTAGTGCTTACCCAAATCCCTAAGGCTATAGAGTGGCAGCCAGTATACTTATATTATTTTTGTAAAATAGATAAATAAAAACTGCAACCCTGGATGAGAACTGCTAATACTAACTAGCAGTACAACTATATTAATATCCAGGTGTTGATCTCATTGGCTTACAATCTGCTTATTTATCTATGATCAGAGGCTTGAGATACCAAGGTGCCACAAAATCCTCGCTTGTTCAGTAATATGATTGTATAGGGATTTGTAACTACTTTTTTAAGGTTTGATATGTCATGGAAAATGTCCTTGTTTTTTTTAGTTGAGCTGTTTTATTTACCATTGGTTAGATTCTTTCCTTGATCACTTTCTTTCGCTTTTATATTTAAACGATCTAGTGTTTTGAGCTCAGCAATGTGTTCACTAATTGTGAGGTTTCTATATGATTATATCGTTGATGTCAGCTAGTATAATCAAAGTTTTTAAAGGCGAATGCGTAAGCGTTTTACCCCTCATGAGGCGAGGCGTAAGCCTTAGGGCGTTGAGGCGTAAGTATTTCAAATTTCAAATTTTAATATTTAGTGAATAAGTTAAATATGTTAAAATAGTAAAAAAAATAAAAACAAAATTAAATATAAAGGTGTAAATATTTTTCGCCTTAAGGCGTTGAACATTTTACTGCATAGAAGGAAATTTTCCTTCACTGAAAGTGAAATTGATATTCTTAACTTTAGTGATTGAGCTTCTCACTTGACCATTAACTGTGTTTTTTCTTAATTGATTATTTACTTAATTTTTTCGATAGAATATAGTTGTAAAAGTTGCAAAAGGGGATTCTTTTTATTTTTTTAAGTTTAAAAAATCTAATAGACTAAGTTTAACAAAAGCGCAAGGCAACCTCTACATGTGTGTACTTCTCACATGCTTATGCGCAAAAAGCGCACCTAAGACGCATGTCTCAAACTATGATGCGCAAGCCTTTGGGAAGTAATACCTAAAAATCAAAGCCTTAATGCATTTTACCTTAGCCTTGAGGCGAGGCAAGCCTCAGAAAAGCCTTTTAAAACTCTGAGTATAATTACTTTGAAAACACATATATAGATATGGAAAAATCTATTGATACATAAAATTCATACAAAAAAACTCTCACAAGAATGATGTGGCAATGCCATTCTTGTAAATAAACTCATCTTCGTGGTTGTTATGTTTTAAAGTAAAAGGTCCATATTGTGACACATCATTCTGTATGAATTTTCTGTTTGCATATCATTACTTTATAGATAGTAATTTACTTTTGATGGTGGTTGCTTCAGGATGGAGCTGCGTCAATCCTTAGGTTTGATCTTGGCAAAGGAAAACACAGTGGCAGCCTTGCTAGACCTACATCTGTGCAGCGTGCATTATCCATTCTTGAGGTGGAGGTTGAGCAAATAAATAAAGGAAATTATGAGCATTATATGCAGAAAGAAATTCATGAACAACCAGAATCTCTGACAACAACAATGCGAGGCAGACTTATACAAGAAGGTTAGTGCAAAGCAAAAAGTGTTCTTTTGGGTGGATTGAAGGATCACCTGAGAACTATCAGGAGAAGCAGGCGTATTGTTTTTATTGGCTGTAGCACAAGCTATAATACTGCGTTAGCTGCAAGACCCATATTGGAAGAACATTTTGGTAAGTACTTCTTACATGCCATGTTCAGTAGATTTTGAATTTGATGTTACCAACTAACTTAAAACTATTTGAATTTGTAATATTCACAGGTATTCCTGTTACAATGGAGGTTGCTAGTGATCTGTTGGAGAGGCAGGGATCAATATACAGAGAAGATACAACTGGTTTTGTTAGTCAATCTGGTGAAACTGCAGATACGTTACATGCATTAGAGTATGCATTAGAAAATGGTGCATTATGTGTTGGCATTACAAATACTGTTGGTAGTGCAATTGCCAGGAACACACACTGTGGTGTCCATATAAATGCTGGTGCTGAGATTGGTGTGGCTAGTACCAAGGTATAAAAATTTGTTTTTGTTTAATTTTTTTTTATTGGTGTCGTATTTTGAGTTTATCTCATTACCTCTGCCAATAGGCATACATTAGTCAAATAGTAGTGATGGTTATGCTAGCACTGGCAATTGGTGGCGATACAATATCCAGTCAAGCAAGAAGAGAGGCTATAATAGATGGCCTATTTGAATTGCCAAATATGTTTTATTGATTTCTTTCCTTGTCATGTTGCAGATTTCATAGACTTTCAATTTAGGGCAAAGTGAGATTTTGTGAGAACAACTCAAAATAATTGCACTTTCATAGAGGTACAAGTGGGTGTTGTGCTCTACGACTTGCACTTGCACTTGCACTGGACATAGACCCACTTGCACCTCTATGAAAATTGCATTTATTTTGTATGTTCCCACTAAACCACAATTTCCCTTTCTATTTATGGCCAAGTAGGTATGTTGTTAAAAATGCTCATTTTGTAATATCTGGACAATTTTTTAATTATTTATAATTTTTTATTTTGCAGGCAAAGTCAGAGAGGTGCTGAAGCTTGACCAGGAAATGAAGGATCTTGCGAAACTATTGATTGCTGAGCAGTCATTGCTTGTGTTTGGGAGAGGATACAACTATGCAACGGCTCTTGAAGGGGCCTTGAAAGTGAAGGAGGTGGCACTTATGCACAGTGAAAGTATACTTGCTGGTAAAATGAAACATGGTCCTCTAGCTTTGGTTGATAAAAATCTCCCAATTGTTGTCATTGCTACCCGTGACGCTTGTTTTAGGTTAGTTTTGCTATGAGAAAGAACAGTTACATCTTTTGAAATTGCAAATGTCATTTTCTGCTTACATGTTCTTGTTTGTGCACAGCAAGCAGCAGTCAGTTATTCAGCAACTTCATGCTCGCAACGGTCAACTTGTTGTTATGTGTTCAAAAGGAGATGCAGCATCTGTGAGCATGGGTGGTTCTTGTAGAGTAATTGAAGTCCCTCAGGTTGAGGACTGTCTTCAACCAGTAATTAATGTAGTTCCATTATAGGTAATTTAATCAGACCATTCTAACATATATTCTGAAGTGTCTTTCCTCATTTACTTTTTACACTGGGTAGATAGTTATCAACATTAATTGTAGTTGTTCAATCAATCTTATATGTTTTGTGTGAGTGATTTTCTGACCACACTGCCCGCTTAGTGATCAACTGGAGAGCACTGGCAGAATAGATGACTTTAGCTAACCTGTAACAGAAAGAAAAGGCTCCGGCGGTGGCTCTTCCACCCGGGGGCACTCCGACGATCAAGTCAGTATATCTCTCAAAGATAATCAAGTGCTAAACTCAATGCTCAAAACATAAATTGCATACCTTAGACCCACGGGGGTGCCTCTCTTTTATAGTTTTCTTAATCCTAGTCCCACTAGAAGCCTGACTTCTATGGACTCCAATTCAATACTGACTTCGGATTCTTCAAGAGATAAAGATAAACTCCCAAAGAGCTTTATCCATATCTTGACTAAATTTCCTCTTCATTCTAGGACTCTTGTCCCTTATCCGTTTATCTCGGATCCCGATATCTTCGGAACTAATCTCGGCAACGCCGAAATAACCTCGGCATAATGACCAAGACACGTGGTACCTCGGCTGACACATCGGCGTCACCTTGCCGCGTGTTGGTACTCAGAAATATACATCCCCACACCTCTCATATCCCGTAGTTACCTCCTGTTGAAACTCGCAACAATGAAGCCTAGCCAGGTACCAAAACCGGCATTCTGAGGTAATGGAACCTATATCTGTATTTTGTTTCAGTAAATCGGCTTAAAATTTGACAACCGAGATCATTCACTTCAGGCCGAGATGCTTTCCTTAAAAAATCAAGATTTTTAAGGACCTTCTCACGCGCATGAGCTGTCATGCACTTTAACCCAACCGTTTTAGCCACGTGTTTCCCTCTTACTGGTCCGTACATGTGACACGCCCGTTAGCCGCCTTTTTCTTCACGTGCGCCGTCTGACGCCCTCGTTCTTCTAGGCGTATTGATTGCTTTTGCCGCCGTTTCTGTTTAATCAAAAACTTTTCCCCTTTTTTCTGTCTCTTCACTTTTTCATTCGAATCTCCTGCTATCTTTCTCTAGCCTTCGAAACCCTTCATTGCTCAAGCTTCCAATAGCTCTGCAATCCTTCTCCGTTCACCCCTTCCGGCGAGATTTCCACCGGTCTTCTGCTCCTGCAACCTTCGTAGGACATCGGCAAATCCCTTTCCGGCTTCTCTTTTTCTGGTAAGCTACTGTTCTTTTCGTTTTCAATTCCCTGATGTTTCTTCTTCTTTTGCTATCGCCATTACTGTACTGTTTCAAGCTTTTTTAATTCATAAGTTGTACATCTGAATGCATTCATCCATGATTTTACCTTTGCCCATATTTTGAACACTCGTACTGTTTCACCACTTCTTTGCACTTTTGCCACTGTTCTTGGCCATATACTCTTGTATTCTTCATGTTCTTGATAGCCCATCTCAGTTCTTGTTTCTGAAACTTCGTTTTTGTTTTCTGGTTTTTGCATCTTTTCCAGATTCTTGCTTTCAATCCGTGTTTCTATAGATTTAGGTCTGGGATTTGTCTGTTGAACCTATCACTTAGGAAAAAACTGAAACCTGCACCTATCTTATAGTTTGCCGAGGTCCCAATAACCTTTCAAAAGCATCTTCTGAGACCCACCTTCTAAGATTAAGCCGATATCATGGGTATGTGGAAACACAGGGTAAACACCCCCTCCAAACTAGAATACTTTAGACAGGAGTTTGAGATCCCAGCCGACATCCATTTGAGGTTGGCTGGGGATAATGACTCCATCATGCCCATTGCCGACTCCATGCCTTTCCCCGTAGTCGCCTTTATCGAGTGTGGACTTCGGCTTCCACTAAACATTCTGTTTCGTGAGGTCCTTCATTACTATAAGTTGAATCCTATGCAACTGGCCATCAATTCTTACCGAGTGATCAATGGTATTATAGCCCTAGCTAAACAGGAAAACGCTAGAATCACACTTGCCGACATCCAATATTGTTATACTATGTGTGGCCTTAACTTGAAAGAAAAAGGCTACATTTATTACCTTAAGCCGAGGTCCACAGAATTCAAAATTGTAGCCGACCTCCCAGACTCCAATAAAGGGGCTGGAGATGATTATTTCATTACCTCGGGGAACTGGGAGTTTGCCCCAGATGAAGACCTCCACCTCTTCCCTCTCCCACGATCAGTCTTTATAGAGGGTAATGGTAAGAGCCCTGCATTCATACTTGTTTTACTTTTAAAGTCTTGTATACTTTATCTGTTTCCTAATGTCTGCTTTGTCTTTACTTTTGCAGTTCTTCCTCAGCCGCCAAAAAACTTTCGCCAATCCTTTGTTCCCAGCAAGGATTTAAAGAAATTATTGGACCTGCCAGTTCAGAAGCGAAAGGCACCCCTGCTTCTCAACTTCATCCCAACATACAAATCAGCTCTCCCCGACGTCCCCAGAAAAAAGAAGAAGAAGAGCTTATCTCCTCCCTCTGTACAACTCTTCCAGTTGTATCAACATCGCGAACAAACCAAGGATCAACCTCTAATCCAACAGAACAGCCGTCGATCTCGGCTCCATTCCTTATTCCACCATCCCAAAGAAAGCGTCGCTGACGTCTTGTTCTTACAGCCAAGATGGGTCGCGCAAAGCCAGTTGCTAAAGACCTTCTAGCCAACATTCCATCATCCATTGACGAACAACCAACACAAACCCAACCTCCAGCAAAACCAAAAAGAATAAAAAAAGGCTCAACCAAAGGCCAAGGTAGCTCAGGTTGAGTCTGAAGATACTCTGCCTATTTCAAAATTGGCTGAGAGTAACAAATAGCAACCTTTTGCTGGGAAGAGGCGCTCTGAGTCTCAACCATTAGAATCCCAACAACCAAAAGCGCCGAGGTCTTCTTCCGCAACAACTTCGGGATCAAAAAAGCCCGATGCCCCCTGGGCCCCTGAAATCACTCTAGAGGATAAGCCCATAATGGCAAGTGACAGTGCCGACGATATCAATGTCGGCGTTGCGCTCAATACCGCTCTACTTCTCCCAAGTGACCTGGAGCGGAACGCCAAGTATAGCGAATATGAGAACTATGCCTTAATGTTACAGCACTCTATTCAGGTAAACGTCTTCTACTTGGCAAGTTTTTCTTTCTCTTTATTTTACACTTTTAATATTCTTTAATACCTCTGTTTTCTTTCAGGCCATCCAGCATGTCCACTCTTTCTCAATGCAGTCTTTTGAGAACAATGAGAGGCTTGCCGAGATGAAGAAGGAATTCGCTTCCCTCCAGAAGACCAACAAAGGTCTTCAATCAAAGATGAAAGAATTGGAGGACCAAGCCGAGGCTGCAATCAAGGCTTAGACCAATGCAGAAGAGAAGGCTGAGGCTGCTGAGGCTATTCAAAAAGTGGCTGAGTCTCAGAGGAGAGAAGCCGAGGAAAAACGGCCCAGGCTGAAAAGGAGCTTGAAAAGGCACTGGCTACTAAAGAGGCCGAAATAAAAGAAGCCGACGAGAAGGCGTATGCCGAGGGCATGGCTGACGTCACTGATGCCTACGAACAACAAGTGAAGGAGGCATGCAACAAGGGTTTTACCCTTGGTTGGATGTCCCTTCTTAAAAAGCTTAATGTTCCTAATGACTCCCATTGCGGAAGGCCAACGCCATTCCCTTGCCATTTCCTCCAGCCCCAACTCCAAGTGAAGATGTCGGCGAATCTGATGCTGAGGATGAGGCCGAGGAGGAGGAGGACGAGGCTCTGATTAGAAAATCAAAAGATGCTGATGGGGCCAAGTCCCCTCCTTAGAATGAGCAAGTCCTAGACTTGACTCAGGATGAGGAAGGTGATGAGGTTCCCATAGAAGCTGTTCCCGAGGTTGCACCAGCCGACGTCTCCTCTGCAGAAAAGAGTGTTGAAGAAACTCTGCAAGAAATTGATGTCGAGATAGCAGCGGAGAAGGCTGCTGAGATGTCTTCTCAACAATTATCAGATCCTCAAGTTCAGCCAACTGGTGGAGAGGAGTCTTTGCTTTTTCTTTTGTTTACTTGTATTTTGTTTCTTCTTTATCTTTAGGAACAATGTAAGCTTTTGTATGGCCGACGTGCCTCCTTGTTTCGTGAACGTCAACTCAACTTTCCTTTTCTGAATGCTTGAATCTTTGTCTTCTCTTAACTGCTCTGGCATGATTCTATACTTAGAATATTCTGCATATATATACTCTTCCTTCCTTGTGTAACCTTCTCGGGGTGACACACCTCGGTTATACCAACCGATGATTTACCTCAGCAATTTCTTGTCCTGCAATTTGCTTATAAATTTCAAAAAGGATAAACATATACTGGTTTAGTTTCAACTTTGTAAACTTTTCTTAAGTTATAACAAGTGCTAAACAGTGATCTACTTGTAAATTGCTACAAATTTCCACAAGTGTCAAACAATATATATCGGTTTTAACTTCATCTTGTAAATTGCTACAAATTTCAACGAGTGAAGGTTAACAATTAGCTCGGCTTAACTTCAACTTATAAATTGCTACAAATTTCAACAAGCGTTAAGCATTACTTCGGTTTAACTTCAACTTGTAAATTGCTACAAATTTCAACAAGCGAAGATAAACAATTATCTCGGCTTAATCTTCAACTTGTAAATTGCAACAAATTTCAACAAGCGTTAAGTA